CTCCCTCCAAACCTTTGATTTTTCTTAAAGGTCTTAAATACCTTTATTCTTTTTCAGAGACATCCTTCATCATTTTTAATACTTGGATAAAATTCTACTTATTTGTTAAGAATTTACTTATAATTCCCTTTAGAAATTTTGTTCCCAGACTCAGTACTGCACCCTGCACAGCTGGTGCTTGCCATGGTATCTTAGGTATACTTGATCATGATATTTTTTCATACTCTGTTGTAATTCTTTATTGCGGTTCCTCTGTCTTCAACTAGGCTGAATACATATTGCTGTCCCTAGTGTCTGGTACGATGCTGGCACTGGGAAAACAGCATGTCATCATTTTGAATGAATAATTGAATGTTAAGTGATTTTGTCTAAGGTCTCCCACTTAATAGCAGACCCAGGTCTGCTAATTTGAAGACAGATATCTACATCACAGATATCTTTGCTTACCCCACCCTCCAATTAGATTGTTCAGTTTCTTAGGAGGAGATTGTGTGCCTCACAGTATTTCCCCTGAAGCACCCAGTACAGTGGGTTCTTTATTCAAGTTAGATAATTGAATGAATCCAAATATTAGCCATAGTAAAGTCTAAAAAAAAAACAAAACAAAACAACCATATCCAGTAGTATCATATGTTTAACTTTAGCAGTATGTGATTGGAGATAGAGTAATTGTTTTCTGCCAGTTTAAAAAATCGAGTCCAGGTGAGTAGGGAATCCAGTATCAAGAATCTAAACTTTTGCTACTGAGTTAATTGTCTTTACTTGGCACTATTTTTGTAGTTCCAGAAATGGAGCTCACAAAATTCTGTTTTCCAACTATTAAGGAAGACATTTAGGTTCTGATCATATCTCCACTTCCCCTCCCTCCTACACACACTGGACAAAAGAGGTAAGTCTTAGAATTTTGCCTCTTGCTGGTCCTCATATATGAAAACAGGAGCTCATTGTTTGCTTGGCCAGAAGTAGGAAACCTCTGGGATACAAACCTTCAGCTTGTCTAGTTGGTATGGTTTTGAACCCAAGAAGAGATAAAGCATTTTTTTTAGTTTATGATTGTAAAAGCAACACAGATACAATAAATATTTGGAAAGTAAAAATTCTAAACAGGAAGAAAAATAGTCACCCATAATCAGACAAAAGATATCAGTAATACATTCTACATATTTTCTCTTTTTTTTCTGGATTATTTTATGTAGTTGAAATTATGTCTGATTTGATTTGTCTTAATATTAAAACATTCATTTTCCTTTATTAAAAACTTCATAAGCATTTTTGTACATAATTGTGTTTTATAGGTGTATCATAAGTAACATTCTCTATTATTAGATATTTGGAACACATTTTTTATTTTGAACAGCACTGCAATTAACATTTTTGGTTATTATTCTTTGAAGACATTTTCTTAAATAGGTAAGAAAATGGTATTTTAAAAAATACTGTCCATGAGTATGGTATCATAAAACACTTCCCAGAAAAGTTTTTCATGAGCTTATAGTTCTACTAGCAGTATGTGAGTTTCTACCTGTTTCACCATGACCACACTAACCCTGGCTACTTTTTAAAAAATATTTACTTACTGAGTCTTTCTAAATCCTACTATCTAAAAGCAGCCAAGTTGTATCTTTTCTCCTCCCCTCTCCTGTACCAACCTATTTTCTGGATTCTTTCTTTACAGGGGAAAATTGAGGTGATCAAACAGGAATTCCTCCTCATCCTTCTACCAAATCCAAAACCCGCCTTCCTTTATGTCCATGGAGGAACTACCCCTACATTTACCAAGAGCAAATCACTACACCAGTACTTGGAATCCTGTCCTTTCCCATGTTCTATAATTAGCCCCATTTCCCCCCTGGTATCTTTGTTTTTCCTCTGCTGGATATTTCTTGTCACTACTCATCTGTGATCTCTCATTAGAGAAAACAAAAAGCAAAGGGTCTACCCTTAAGCTTTGTCTTCTTCTAGCACCACCCTTTTTTCTGTTTACTCAGACAAATCAGTCAAAGGAGTATTTATTTATACACACTTCTACATCTCTCTCCTCATCAAAAACAGGTGTAGAGTGAATTTTAATTTACTCATCCATTTGATTGCCTGGATTGTGCCTGGCATTGTGCTAGTGAAAAGCAAAAAAATAAAAAAAAACCTAATCCCCCCCCCCCCCAAAATGTATTCTCTGCCCTCATGGAACTTTGAAAGGGGGAAGCAGTTAATATTTAAAGTTCACAGGAGGTGCCTGGGTGGCTCAGTCAGTCAAGCGCCCGACTTCGGCTCAGGTCATGATCTCGCAGATGTGAGTTCGAGCCTCGCCTTGGGCTCTGTGCTGACAGCTCAGAGGCTGGAGCTTTCTTTAGATTCTGTGTCTCCCTCTCTCTCCGACCCTCCCTGCCTTGTGCTGTGTCTCTCTTTCTCTCAAAGGTAAATAAACATTAAAAAAAATAATAAAAAACAATATTTAAAGCTCACGAAATCATATAAAGTATGATTATGGTAAATGCTATGAAAGAAAGAAAGTTAAATGTGTTGCACTGAAAAGGTTATAATGGGGGGAGTCAGGGAAGAGTTCATGAACTAGTAACTTTATGTCCAGAACTGAGATCTGAGGATGTGATGGGAGTTAATAGGCAAAGGATGTTTGTCTATACTTCAGAACCGATGTTGCTAAGTTCAGTGATCTTAATGTTGTTAGATCTGGGATACTAGTTGTCACCCTACTTGACCCCCAAGCGGTGCTGCACAAGGTTAATTTCTGTTATGTGAGTCCATACTTTTCCAGGTGTCCCCACTCCCTCTGGCTTGGTTTCTGTATGTTGTTCCCCAGTTTCACAATGTTGGAATTCCTTAGGGCTCCATCATGAGCCTTTTTTTTTCTGACATCATTAGATAACCTCATTCACTCTCATGGCTATAAATATCATCTGTCAAATTTATATTTCTAGCCATGACCTTTGCAAAATCAAACTTAACATATGTAAAATCAAATGCTTGATCTGCTCTCCTTTGAAACCAGCCAGTCCTCCATTGTTCACTTTTTGAGGAAGTGGCAGTTCCACATGAAAATTTTTTTCCCTAGTCATTCTTGATCCCTCCTTGTGGCTTGCCATTGTCCATTCATAACACTGCTAATACATTACTCAGTGTGTGCTGGGCTCTATATTATGTGCTCTTTCATATATTTCCGCCTCTATTCAAGAGTAAAACCAAATGTTAGCCTTCCTGTAGGTTAAATTTCCTGGTGATTAAAATTTTATTTTGGCTTTAGGCTATTCTTTTAATTTGTTTATTGCACCATTTAGAGAATATGGCTTGTATTATTCTACTTCTGAATTTTTTAAACAAATTTTTTGGTGGCTCATGATAGTTGATTAGTTTTTCAGAATTGTGCCAGGGGTGAGTTTATATCTTTGTCTGTTTTTTTCATCATCCTAGTAAGGTGTTGATTTTTCATTTAATTTTTTTAAGTTTATTTTGAAAGGGGGTGGTGCAGGGAGAGAAAGAGAGTCCCAAGCAGAATCCGCTCGGTCAGCACAGAGCCCACTGTGAGGCTGGAACCCACAAACTGTGAGATAGGACCTGAGCCAAAGTTGGACGCTTAACCAACGGAGCTACCGAGATGACCCTCACCGCCCCCCCCCCATTTAATTTTTTAAACTGTCTTTTTTCACTGTATGATAAAGCATGATGGAGAGCACTGTCACTTGTGTGATTTTACTTTAGTGCTCATCTGGTACCTCCCTGTCCATAATTCGATTTTCAACTCTTCTTTGTCTTTTTGTTTTAGTTGTAACTCTTGCAAGCAGTAGTGAATTTTTGTCTATTGCTTCTGACCAGAGATTGTTAGTAGATAGATGGACTGATTTTTTATTTATTATCAGTCTTAACAAGTTGAGTTTTGAATTATTTTATTTATTTATGTCAGTTATAAGTATTTTGGTGGCACAAATAATTCTTTAAAATTTTTTAGCATTTATTCACCTTTGAGAGAGAGAGAGAAAGAGAGACTATGAATGGGGCAGGGGCAGAGAGAGAGAGAGAGAGAGAGAGAGAGAGAGAGAGAGAGAGAGAGAGGCACCCACAGAATCCAAAGCAGGCTCCAGTCTCTGAGCTGTCATCACAGAGCCCGACACAGGGCTTGAACCCATGAACTGTGAGATCATGACCTGAGCTGAAGTTGGCCGCTTAACGGACTGAGCCACCCAGGCACCCCTAGAGGCACAAATAATTCTTAACCTGAAAATGCAACTATCATAAAGGAGGTAATACATTTCTTGTTATCTCAGCACCCAAAAATAACATCTTAACATTTGCTGTATGTCCTTTGCTTATATTTGGAGGAGGGGAAGGATGAAAAAGAAGATAAAGAGGAATGGGAAACAAATTTCTGTATTAAATATCTTTAGGGGCACCTGGGTGGGTCAGTCTGTTAAGCATCCGACTCTTGGTTTCAGCTCAGGTCATGATCTCGTGGTTTGTGGGTTCAAGCTCTGCACCAGGCTCTGTGGTGACAGTGCAGAGCCTGCTTGGGATTCTTTCTCTGCTCCTCCCCTGCTCTCACTCTCTCTCAAAATAAATAAACATTTAAAAAAATATGTCTTGGGGCGCCTGGGTGGCGCAGTCGGTTAAGCGTCCGACTTCAGCCAGGTCACGATCTCGCAGTCCGTGAGTTCGAGCCCCGCGTCAGGCTCTGGGCTGATGGCTCGGAGCCTGGAGCCTGTTTCCGATTCTGTGTCTCCCTCTCTCTCTGCCCCTCCCCCGTTCATGCTCTGTCTCTCTCTGTCCCAAAAATAAATAAAAACGTTGAAAAAAAAATAATTTAAAAAAATATGTCTTTAACATAATGGGTTAATTGTTTTGTAAATTAATAGCTTATACTCTAGAGCAAGAAAATACAAGCATTCTTTGTTTTGGCACCAGGCACAATGCCTGATGTCTAAATATTCAGTAAATGTTTAAGGAGTGAATAAAGAAATAGACTTCTTAATTTTTCTTTTTTTCCTCTAAAGATTTCTATGGAGAATGACTATCTGGGTCCCCGAAGAATTGAAAGTCTACAAAAAGAAGATGCTGATTGGCAGCGAAAAGCTCATATGGCTGTTTTGTCTATTCAGGATCTTACTGTCAAATATTTTGAAATAACAGCTAAAGCACAAAAAGGTGAGCTTCCTAGTAAAGTTATCCTTGTTAGATATTTTTGGAAAGGAGTGGTTTAAATATTTTATGTTTGCAGCAGGTTTGTAGAAAAGTGTATAAAGACCATTCATAGTCTTGCCATTGAAAAAGATTACTATCAAGAAATTAAGGTATATGTTTTCATTCTTTTTGGGGCATGTGTTTACATATACTCCACCTGAAAAAATAGTAATGGGGTATTATTATAGCATAATTCAATTTTGACTAACAAATTACAGACCCCACAGCTTAAAGGCAGAGTTCCCAACAAGACTGCCCCCATTGAAGATACAACTTGGAATTTTAGAGGATTCCCAGGTCATCTGCACTTCTCACCAATTGCTACAAATTTGGGGGTTCATACAGCCTTTTTAGGTTTGATAATTTGTTACAATGACTCACAGAACTCAGGAAAGCACAAACAATTACTATTTTAAAAGGATACAAATCAAGACAAGCCAAATGAAGAGATACATAGGGCAAGGTCTGTCAAGGTCCATTTCTTCCCGCTTCCTTCCACGGGACCACAGAAATCCTTCAATAGCTGTTTAAAACCCCTGCTATTTGCTGTTTTAATTTTTTACCTGACGTTAACACAGTTTAGCTTTTAGGTTATTCCTTCAGCAAATCCACACTTGCTTAAAAGGTTTATTTGAAGCAGTTTATTCCTTCAGAATGCCACTGTGCCAAAGGAGAATGCTTTCCTTGGTTTTTCAGAATCATTTGACATTGTCACTAACACACATACACAAAATAGTTTGCTAGGTGAAAAATAGTATTGTGTTTTTAAATTTTGCATTTCTTTGATTATTATTAAGTTGATCTTTTTTGTTTTCATGTAATAAATGGTATTTTCATATCCTTTATTTCCAATTAGTCATACATTTGCTTATTTAACTCTTTGTATACAAATTATATTTGTAAACACCACCAGCTTTTATTTTATTTATTTTATTTATAATTATTTTTAACATTCATTTATTTTTGAGAGACAGGGCATGAGTGGGGGATGGGCAGAAAGAGAGGGAGACACGTAATCTGAAGCAGGCTCTAGGCTCTGAACTGTCAGCACAGAGCCTGATGCGGGGCTGGAAACCACGAACTGTGAGATCATGACCTGAGCCAAAGTAGGATCTTTAACTGACTGAACCACCCAGGTGCCCCTATTTTATTTTTTTAATGTTTTTTAAATTTATTTTGAGAGAGAGATTGAGAGAGTACACATGAGTAGAGGAGAGTCAGAGAGAGAGGGAGAGAGAATTCCAAGCTGGCTCTGCGAAGGGCTCCATCTCACAAACCATGAGATCATGGCCTGAACCGAAATCAAGGCTTGGATGCTTAACTGACTGAGCCACCCAGGCACTCCAAAATCAATGTAATTCTATTAAGAACTGTAATATTGTAGAATTTGACAAGAGGATTTTAATATTAATGAGAAGAGTAAATGCTTTATTTTTATGTTAATATGATTGAAAGAAATCGTATAGTTTGTATATCTTGCCATTTTATTTACATCTTTTCTTCGGGAGAGTTTCATATATATTTTTTTTTAATTTAGATTCTACACAATTCTCAGTTCACTTCTGGGTGTTTTATTGAAAAATTTTTTTTAATGTTAATTTTTGAGAGAGCAAAAGGGAGAAGGGCAGAGAGAGAGAGAGAGAGAAGGGCACAGAATTTGAAGCAGACTCCAGGCTCTGAGTGAGACACAGGGCTCAAACTCAAAAACCGCAAGATCATGACCTGAGCCCAAGTCGGGTGTTCAACCAACTAAGCCACCCAGGCAGGTGCTCCTTGCCCAAAAAGATAATAAGGGAATATTGCCGACAACTCTGTGCATTCAAATCCAGCAAACCTGATTCAATGCAACAATTTCTTCTTCTTTTTTTTAATGTTCATTTATTTTTGAGAGACAGAGTGCCAGCAGGGGAGGGACAGAAAGAGAGGGAGACACAGAATCCGAAGCAGGCTCCAGACTCTGAGCTGTCAGCACAGAGCCCAACACAGGGCTTGAACCCACCAACTGTGAGATGCTTAACTGACTGAACCACACAGGACCCGCCCCCCACCGTCCAATGCAACAATTTTTTGTAGGAAGATAAAATTATCAATTCAAGATGAAATCAATAACCTGAATATCCCTATAACTATTAAAGAAATCGGATTTGTAATTAAAACTTTTAGAAAAAGAATTCTCTAGGCCTGAAGAGGTACACTGGCAAATTTTTACCACATTTGAATAGTAGGACCAGCTTCACACAATATCTTCCAAAAATACAGAAGAGGAAGGAATACTTCGAATTTATATGACTGAGATCAGCAATATCCTAAATCCTAAACTACATAAAGACAGTATTAAAAAACCCTACAGATCAGCATCCTGCACATATTGGCAAACTTAAAGTATTGTACAAATTTTTTAAGAAATTAACCTTTGTGACCAAGTAGGATTTTTCTTGATTCACTATTTGAACATCAATCAATGTAATCCACCAAATTGAAGGTTAAAGCTGTGGTTTTTAACTAGAGATAAATGTATCACAAAAGGACATTTAGCAGTCTCTGGAGACCTTTTTGGTTGTCATAGCTACACAGGGTGTTAACTAGTATCTAGCAGAGGCCATAGATTATGTTAAACATCCTATGTTATGCAGGATGGCCCAAAGAATTTTGTGGAACACAATGTCACAAGTGTTGAGGTTGAGAGGCTTTAGTCTTTTCAGAAAACTTGCATGGTCAGTCATATCAGTAGATGCCGAAAAAGCATTTGACAAAATAGAACATCCTGTATGTTGAAAACACTCAGCAAACTAGGAATAGAAAAGGAACTTCCATAACTCGATAAAAGGCATCTGCAAAAACCCTGTAGCCAACATCACATTTAATGAAGGGCCGAATTGTTTCCCCCATTTTAAAATAGGTACAAAGTCAAGGATGTTTACTCTTAACACCACCCCTGTTCAACATAATATAATATTAGTTGTAATATGGCAAGAAAAATAAAATTGTCCCCATTTTAGTTAATATTGTTTATGTCGAAAACTGTATGGAATCTATTTTTTAAAACTCTTTAAACAAGTGACTTTCTACCAAAACATGTACAGAATTTGAATGCTTACAATTACGTAACAGGTCTTTGATTTCTTTATCATAAGTAAATGGATAGACATGTTGTGTTCACATATTGGAATATCCAACATAGTAATGATCTCCGTTCTCCCCAAAGTGATGTATAGACACCTATAGTACCTATGGAAATACCAGCAGGACTTTTTCTTATAAACATAAACCAGCTAATTGTAATGTACATGAAAGGGCATAGAGGAACTAAAATACATAAAGCAGTTTAGGAAAAAAGAAAACCACAAGCAAAATCACATTACCTGACTTAACAAATTATAGAGCTACTGTGGTATGGTATTAATGGAAGAGATAGACATGTATATCAATGGAATAGAATGGAGAATAAGAAATAAATGCACAACACATGGACATTTACTCTTTGATAAAACAATTCAGTGGGAAACAATAAGTGGTATTGGAACACTTGGCCGTCCACTTGTAGAAACATGAACCTTGACCAAAACCTCACACCTTGTACAAAAATGAACTCAAAATAGATCTAAATGAAAACTGTGAAACTTCCAGAAGAAAACTAAGAGAAAAATCTTAGTAACCTAGAGAGTTAGGCAGAGTTTGTAGCAGTGGCACTACAAATACAAACTGTTAAAGTAATTGAGGAGTATGAACCATAAAAGAAAAAATTGATAAAATGGATTTCACCAAAGTTAGAAACTTTTACTCTGGCAGGTACTACCAAGAGAATGAAAAGATAGTGTTCGAGAGAAAATATTTGCAAATAACATTTGACAAAGGACTTGTATCCAGACTATATAAAGAACTCTTAAAACTAAACAATAAGAAAACAGTTCAGTTAATAACTGTGGAAAGGACTTGAACAGAGGATAAAGATGGCAAAGAAGCACTTAAAATATGTCCAAGACTATTAGTCATTAGTATAATGCAAATTAAAACCACAATGAGATACCAATACACACCTATTAGAATGTCTAAAATAAAAAATACAATACCAAAAGCAGAAAAGGATGCAGAGTAACAAGAACCCTTCCTTTATTGCTGGTGGTAATGCAAAATTGTACAGGCAATCTGCAAAGTGAATGCAGTTTCTTATATAAGTTAAAGATATGCTTACCATATAACCCAGCAGTCCCACTCCTGAGTATTTAACTTAGAGCATTAAGATAATTATAAAAACTAAAATTTTAATTTTACAAAATTAAGAGAACAATACATTAAAACGTTAATGGTAGTTCCTTTAAATGTTTAAAGATGTCATTTTCTACTGTAAACTATATGAAATAGTTGTATGTATACTATTTGGTTTAGAGTCTGCTTTCTAGATGCACTTTTTAATATTTAAAAAAAGTTTGCATTATGCTAAAAATATATAATCATTACAGAAAATTTAGAATATTAGAGGGGAACCCCCCCC